GAGCCAATGTTGTTTTTATCAAATTATTCTCTGAGCTTACTATCAATTTACAGATAGGAGAGAGTTTTGTGTTTACCATGGCGATAACAGGACCAGAGCTAAGGAAATCACACGAGCCATTGAAGAAAGGTCTTTCCTTGAGATCATGGTAATGCTTCTGTGCAAAATCCTTGGAAGGAACAACGACCTTGATACCAACAAGCTTGAATCCCTTTCGTTCGAATCAAGAAATGATCTCTGATATCTGTTGGTTCATGAGATAATAAGAGTTACATACATACACATGATAAGACCAATTCAAGACTAACTATATATTAAAATGAAATATAAAAGATTACCAGTCCTCGGCTCCTCGCTGCACTCCATCAGGCTTGATCGCAATGAAAGTGCGTTCCATCTGTGAAACGATCAAGAACATCAGGATGATGAAATCACAGATATATTTAGGAGAGAAAAATGATGATTATCATTTACCTCAGCAGCAAAAACCTCCTGATCTTAAACAATGAAAGCTATAACAGAAACAATAAAAGAAAACATATGTCAATAACATTTATCATAATCCTATTCTAACCAAAAGTAAACAATGTGTTTGGTTAAACCTGCAGCAGGAAGAGCCAAGAGTCCAGTGATCCAACTCTTAGAGGCGGCACCAGAAGCTGATGATCTTGCAAAGTTAGATGCATAGAGAGGCATCTTTCCTGATGCAGTCACCGCAGCCGCCGCACCAATCGCTCGTCCTTCTGTGAAATTAAACGTATCAGAAAGCATTAGATCTTGAATCCATAAGTGAGTGAATCCATCAGATCAAACAAATCTCTGATTAGTTCGCAAATCGATAGATCTCTATGATCCATAACACACAATGATTTGTATCTAACGAATCCTCAGATTGACTGATCAGTCAATAGCAAATCAGTAAATCTCTATGATCCTTAGCTGTGCAGCCTCTCTCCTTAACCTTTTTAAAACCTCTATACAACAACATATCATCACTCTCAGCCACTGTCTCCGAGCTCTCTCCTCCTCCAGCTGACTCACAACACAAAGAACCATCACAAACAGAGAGAAAATCGTAACACAGAGACTATTAACAATATAAACTAGCTAATATTACAAGACAATAACACAGAGACTAGATAAATTAGAGACAAGATAAATAAGATAATCAAGACCAGGGACAAGATAAATCAGATAAAAGATAAACCAGACAGTGAAGACCAAAGAGAAGATTAACCAGATATAAAAGACAGAGACTCAAGACAGGAACAAATTGTCAAGATAGTCATAATCAAGACTCTTGATGCAGAAACAAATAGTCAACCAAAATCAAAACCCTAGACACAGAAACAGATTTTCAAGACAAATCGAAACCCAAACCTGAAAATCCCCCAAATCGAAACCCTAAGAAAGAACTAAGAGGAGAAAGTACCGAGCTTTTGGTGGTGGTATTGAATGTCGCACACCATCATATATCTTCACCACCATCGTCCTCTTCCTCTGTCTTCTCCGTCTCCGCTTCAGAGGAAGAGAAGCTCCGCCGTGGGTTCACCTTTTTCAAAACACAGTCAGTTTCAAAACTGAGAGAGTGAGATAGAGATAGAGATAGAGATAGAAAATCTGACCTCGTGGATGGTAGAGAGTCATCGGGTTTCTTCCTGGATCCGACCCAACTGAGCTTTGATCCATTCGCAACTTCAGGTCACCCTCCTCTTGTAAATCTTGTTGTTCTGGGCTGGGGAAAAGAAGATAAAGAGATAAGAGTCTTGTGTTGACAGGGTTTCGGTTTCGAGAAAGAGTAAGTAAGTCTCTCTCTTTCTTTTTTTTTTTTAATTTTAAAATATTTTTTTGATAAACACCAATTAATATAGAATGAAATAGACGTCTACATATAAGTAGACTTTACTGTAAGTCTACTATACCCTAAATATTGGCGCCAATATGGAAAAATAGGCTCCAAAATTCATTTTCACTTCCCGCTTAGTTAATTTTAATTTTAAAATAATTTATTTTGGTAAACACAAATTAACGTAGACTGAAATACACGTCTACATATAAGTAGACTTAACTGTAAGTCTACTATACCCTAAACCAGAAATCTCAAACCCTAAACCCAAAATCTCAAACCCTAAACGTTTGATTGATTATAAAAAAATCTTAGTCATTGTACCAAATATCATATATACAAAATATAAACTACTCAACATTAAATATGCAATTTTGAATCATTAAAACAAAATAATTCTAAATCTAGAATCTAACCCTAAGAATCCAACTCTAGAAGACATAACATGCTAGAACCTTTGGTTGCTAAACCATTAACACTGTCAACCAAATAGTTCCCAAATCAATATATATTCTTTTAAATTGTTCAATTATATGAAAATTTAATTTATATACCTCATACTAACCTTTAAATTGATGATTTATTAAAAAAAATTACCAAAAATAGTTTTTCTACATTTTTAAAATTTAATTATTTGATTAAATTAAGATATAAACTAAATAATAAGTCTACATTAGTCTACACAGTAGACGTTAATGTAAGTCTACCTAGTTGTAGACTTCTTTCTTAAAGTGTAGACCTCCGAAGGACATAATCGTAAAATATATTCCGCGTTTTTTGTTTGTTCATAAGGGTTAAATAGTAGTTTTAACACCCATTTAGGTTGGGTTTGCAATTGATTGAATATGGGATACACCTTTAGGGTTAAAATGAATATTTGGGTTGGTTTTGACAATTCCCCCAAAAATTAAAATCATGTTTGGGTAGACTTCTAAGGAACTCTACTTAAAACTTAAGGTTAATAGACTTCGTTTGTAGTCTACTCAATTCAAAAAAATTTAGATCTTAAAAAGTATATACACTTAAAATAACTTTAAATCTAAAAACTTAAGAAAATATAATTTATAAAATAAATTAGTAGTAAATTATAGACATAAAGTTTGAATATGTAACTTTATTTAAATATAAAAGCACATGTTATAGATATAAATCTTACAACTCTGGAAAAATTTTTTTTTAGGCCAAAAAATGGTAACATTGTCACTTTAGGCTAATTTCTTTTTTGTACCATTTTTCCTATAATGCCCTTTACTAATTTCAAAAATAAATTAAATAAATAGTTTTAGAAACAAAAAAAAATCAAAAATATAATAACTAGTTCTGAAACACCAATATCAATCTAGTGATATTTTTCAAGTTCTAAAAATGTATAAATCTTTTTTTTTCAAATTATATTCTACATAAAGTAAAAGTGGCATTCTACAAAGTAGAAAATGAAATTCACTTTTTTTATTGAATCTACTATGTTTAGAATACAGATTCTGCGCTTAAACTATCCTTCTAAAATCAGTAGAAAACGGAATCTACACATTACTATAAAATTTAAAATATGTAGAAATCAGAATCTACACATTATTATAAATCTAAAACCTATAGAACCTGATTTCAAACATTATTATTGTATTCTACATATAGTAGAATACACTTCTACGGATAAGAATATTCTGTTCCGCAAATATAGGAAGAAAATGTTTGAAAATATTCAATTTCCATAAATAAAATCAATTTTTTGATTAAAAAATTAGAAAACAAAATCGAGTTTTTTTAGAAAAGTAAAAAAAAAAATTGATTTGGGAACTCACGCCGGACGGATCGACCTACTGTTTCTGGGATCGATCGATTCCGTCAGATAGAACAGTTTCTTCTTCTCGTTTTTATTTTTTTGCGATTTGAGGATTTTTTATTTTATTTTTTAAAGATTTCTAATTGAATTTAAGGGCATTATTGCCATTTAAAAAATATTTAGCCTAATGAGACATAAAGTAATAGACATTAGCCTAAAAGGACAATGTTACTACTTTTTTGGCCTAAAAAGCTATTTCCCCTACAACTTTTGGTGGAAGAAATAAAAACCATGGAAAGAATACCTGCAAAATGAAGATAAAACTATGAAAAACATAAGACAAAAAAATTTAGGGAAGTTGACTCGAATGACTCAAATTAGTTGAGAAAATACTAGAATAGGCCATAAAAGTCTAAAATTACTAAAAAAAAAATGGGTCGAAAATACCCTTGTTTCCTGTTATGAACATAATTTCATATTACCAAATTGCCATTGTTATTTTCTTAAAAATCGCTGATGGTAGATTTATTAAAAGAAAAATAAATCTATCGGGATATAAGTCTGTCGAAAAAACTATTCTTAAATTTATATCTGTCATTTATTTGGTGGCAGAGTTTTTGGTCACGGCAGATGTTTTGAAGGACGGAAGATTTATAAGTCCGATTTAAGGTTGTTGACAGATTTATCTTTTTAGTCTGTCTTATGAAGTAACCGATTTTGTTGAGATCGTCAGTTTTTTTCAGAGTAGTTAGAGTTTTGAGATAGATATGTTAATGGGTAATAGACTTATATATTTTTGACCGATTTTGTTAACCGATTTAAATTTGTGATAGATTTTTATATTCATTTGGTGCCAGATGTTAGTAATTGTAATCTTTGACGGCAGACTTATTGAAAAACAATTAATTACTAGCGTGGCACAGACCGGTTTTTTGTCCAAAATTCACATATATTTCGAGTTAAATTAAGTGGATTCTGGTTTAAATTAATTGAATTTGGTTTTAATTAATTTTGAAGTTCGGTTAAGATTTATTTTCGGTTTAATTTAACTTAAATCAATTTTGAACCTAGAGATTTAGGTTAAGAGTCATTAAAGCCACGTTTTCCAATTTCAGTTTTAACTTCTTTGTCTTCTTCTTCCTCCCCTCTCTTTAAACAACACGTGCTCCTCTCTTTCATGGTGATTTATTGCTAGCGTGGGACATGCCGAAATTTTGGCCAAATTCACATATATTTCGAGTTAACTTAAATGGATTCCGATTTAGATTAACTGAATTTCGTTTTAACTAATTTTGAAATTTGGTTAAAATTTGTTTTTGGTTTAAATTAAAAAAATTTAAGTTAAGAGTCATTAAGGTCACGTTTTCCAATTTACATTTTACCTTCTTTGTCGTCTTCTTTCTGCCCACTCTTTAAAAAACACGTTCTCCTCTTTCATGGGGATTTACTACTGTGTGAGTGAACAATAGTATAACACTTAAGTTTTGTCTGTGGGAAGTGGAAATTTGAGAAAACTAAATGGTTATTTGAAGTAGATAACGAGCAATGTAGCATATTTGACATAGATAAAAAGCAAGATAGCATATTTGAAGTAGATAACGAGGAAGTGCAATCCAACTCCTTCAGCCTTGATGATCACTCCAACATCAGATTCCTTCAACACATCCCAAGCATCTACACCAACAGCTTCTTCAACCATATGAAGATTCAACAAGTGACAGCTGTGATTCATGCTTATGTTCTTCATTGGAGTTTTTCCAGCCTCATACAAGCGTGGAGGATAATTTCTAATGGCCGAAGGTGAAGCCATCCTACAACAAATTAATACACATATTCAGAAATTTCATTAATAAAAGATGGTTAAACGGTTTTATGACACACAATCACACACTAAGAACTCATCTTCAAAGAACCAAAACAGAAAAAAATACATATGTCAGATATTAGAGATTTCAAATACAACTCACACCAACCATCTACCTTAATAGATTACGGGATTTCGAAATATGGATTTCAAAAACAAAAAAAAATTATGAAATTCTTAATTGGGAATCAAGGTTTCCAAACTGGGAATTAAGGTATTTCAAATTGGGAATTAGAGTTTTTTTTGAATTGGGAATTAGGGTTTTCTGAATTGGGGACTAAAGTTTTTTATTTTGAATTGAGAATTAGTGTTTTTTCAAATTGGAATTAGGGTTTTCTCGAATTAGGAATTAGGGTTTTCTAAATATCCCAATTAGAGAAACAGAGTAAACCCAAATTGAATTTCAAAATTGGGAATTAGGGATTTCGAATAAAAAATTAGAGTTATTATATATAACATGCAATCAATCAAGAGGATAACAGAAACGAGAACAACTCATGGCGGAGTGATTGTCGGATACCTTAATCGGAGGTGGAGGATGGAGGTGAAATCGAGTTCTTCCTCCTCGATGATGAGAGAGATGAGGTCGGTTTTATGGTCAAGGAAAACTGACGGCAGAGTGGTTGTCGGAGGTAAAGGTTGAGTTTCGTCGGAGAGAAAGAATGGAGGAGTCGCAGGTGGAGAAGAAAAGAAGAAGAGGGGATGAGTCGGAGATGGGAACCCGACAAAAGCTATTCCTTTTCTTCTTTTTTTTTTTAAATTATTTTTCTATTTTGTTTTAAAACTCATGTTTTTAGTTAAAGAGGGGGTAATTGGTAAAATTGCTTATCCCTTGAGTTATTCTAGTAATTATCATCTTATATGAGTTAGTTTAGTGTTTTCTCAATTTATTTGAGTTATTTTGAGTAATTTCTCAAAACTTTAAAGTCATAACTTTGTAAACTTCTAAAGAAGTCTACTTAAAATTTAAAGCTAGTAGACTTCATTAGAAGTCTACTATATGAGATAATTTTCAGATCTGAAAAATCTATACATTTGGAAATGTGAATCTTTCAATTTTGGGAGAAAAAGATAAAAACCATAGAAGAAAATATCAGCAAAAAGATTAAAAGTCACTCATATTATTGTAGACTTCATTAGAAGTCTACTATATCAGATAATTTTCAGATCTGAAAACTATGTACATGTGAAAATGTGAAAAATAGTTTTTAATCTGAAAAAAACTTCAAAAGTAGAATTTATAAGATAAAAGACTAGCAAGGTAAATACACATAGTTTATTTTTATATCTTTATTTGAATATAAACATAAAAATACACATTTAAAAAAAATTATAAATTTAAGACTTACATTTTTAGAGTGGAAGGTGATAACCATGAATGAACCTACAAACACAAGATAAGATTGTTAAAAAGACATGATAAAAAAAATTAACAAACTAAACAAAAGTGCATCTTCACATTCAAAGAATTTAGAGAGAAATGAGAGAGTTTTAGAGAGAAGAGAAAGAGTTTTAGAGAGAAGTGATAGTGTTTTTAGAAACTTGTGCACCCATTTTAGAGAGAGATTGAAAATTTTTCAGTTATATAGGATACAAAAATTGTAACTAGATTAAATTTTTCGACAGTGTAGATTTTTTTTTTTGAAGTCTATTAAAATTTAAATTTGGAGTAGACTTTATTGTAAGTCTACTTAATATACTTTTTGGAAATCTACTATGATTATTTCATTATTGTTGTTTATTTTTTATTGTTTTAATAATTTTAGTATATGATTTATTTAATTACTTTCTTTATTTTTTAATATATATATATTATATAATTTTTCATTTTAATTCATAAAGAACTCAACTTAATTTAAAAGTAATGTTTTTTTTTTTAATTAGAGTAGACAGAAAAAGACTTCGATAGTGAAGTAGACTTTATTGTAAGTTTACCAAACCCTAAACCACAACTCAAACCCTATAAGTTTGCTTGATAACCAAAAAAATCTCAATTATTATAATATCAAAATATAAAAACTATAAACTATTCAACACTTTTCAGATTTATGTCAGTAAAATATAAAAAATCTCAATCTAAAATCTAACCCTAAGAATCCACCCCCTGAAGACATAACATATTAGAATATCTTTTGTTTACAGAGTTTGTATGAGTATGTTTAAGTTGATGACAAAAAAAAAATTAGAATATCTTTTCTTAAACAATAAACGTTTCAACACATAGTTATCTAATCAATATATATTCTTTTAAATTGTTCAGTTATATAACATTTTAATTTATATACCTCATATTAGTTCTTATATTGATGATTTAAAAGAAAAATTCACACAAATTATTTTTATACATTTTAAAAATAATATTATAAGATAAAATTACGATATAGACTTCATCAAAGTTCTACAATGGTGACTTTATGGTAAATCTACACCTTGTAGAATTTTCTCTATTAAATATAGACTTCCGAATAATTGAAACGTAGAATAACTTTTTAGTTTTTGTTTAGTCATAAGAGACAAATAGTAATTTTCCTACCTCTTTATGTTAGTTTTGTATTTGATTAAATAAAAGTTCTAAACTTATATTTCAGATGATGTTTTGGATTAGTTTTAGTAAATGTCCCTAAAAACTAACCATTGTTGGTCTCTATTTCTATGAATAGGCATCCTTACCAAGTCATGTCAGTAAATCAATTTTGTTTTAGTCGTCAGTTTAATTCCGTAACATAACCCTATTCAAATGTTTATATAAATCATATATGATAAAAATTATGTATACATATTTTATCATATGTATATCTTTTTAAGGTCCCAACCAGAATTAAAATTGAATGTGATTAACGACTTAAAAAAAAAAAGGGTGATTAGCGACACGTACGACATGAAGACCATAAATAACAAAAAGAAATCTCCAAATTTAGAAGGAAAATGAAAGTCATTGGAAAGACATACAATTGAAGGTAAAAACCACTTACATCATAATCATATGATATTCAATGTTGTGTTACATACGAGTCGTTCACTCCAATCAGGTCGTCTATATCTCCCATGTCTGCCTCATTTGTAGACTGGTTCGCTTCGTTCCCCGTCTGTTGTCCAAATAGAGGGGATGCTCCAGTCCCCGTTTGAGCAGCTATCATCAAAACATTCAAAAGTAGTCACATCTCTAGAATACATAACGATTAGCAATCAAAGAGATCATATTATGTATATGTAAAACAAAGAGATCAAACTCTTTGTATACAATACAAATTCTACCAAGCATATCAAGAGACCAATGTATACCTGTTGATGTTGGCAATGTCAGTCCTTGCAGCCTTGCTTTGCGACGATTCACCAAGACAATAGCAACAATAGCATATGCGATAATGACCAATGCTACCGCAGATACCACACCGACTATGATTGGCAGTTTACTTTTCTTTTCCTCATTTGTTGACCCACCTACACCGATATCAACATGTAATGCTTTTTTTACTTACATTTCTGATCTATAATGCATAATGATATTTCCTGTATATATGGTTAGTTTCATAAAACAAACAAACCTATCAATATCTCAAGCTAGAATGGAAAGAAAAGTCGAAATACAAACCTGAGCTCCCTGTGTTAAAAAAAAAAATGTGTTAAAAAAAAGGACAAACCTGAGCTCCCTTCGTTGCTTCCTCCGGTTTCTCCTTTTCCAGTTCCACCAGAGCCTTAACACAAAAGTAAAAAAAAAAAACATTCTATATTAAATTACGTAGGTAAATATAAAGTTTATGCGTTTTTGGTACTTTTACTCCTACACCAAGACTAATCACTGAAGAATGCAGTTAAAAACCTCCAGGTCCGCCGCTCCCAGATCCACCACCTCCTCCACCACCACCACCACCACCACCTGTTCCTGATCCGCTTGCACTTCCATTTCCGCTTCCGCTTCCGTCTCCACTTGTACCAGAACTTATCACATAAAGCTCCAACGCATTTATCATGGGCGGCCAAAGCGCACTAGGTGTGGACTGGAACACTAGCTGGGAGCTCGAGCTGGCCACCACGTCTCTCACTACCACTTGGGTAGCTTTTCCATACACTGGCACAACTGGACCCGTACCAACTTTCGTACTGCCAAATAAAATGTTGAATGATCGTACACTCATCTGGATAGGCTCCGAGAAATACATAGCCAAATAAACAGGAACTCCTTCCGTAGGAAGAGTGGCGTCGACTAGTTTTAAGCTTTCCCCGCTCCAAGAGTTACGGAGGATGGACTCAGGCGGCTTGTTTGATGCATCAGAGGTATCGATAGATGCAGCTGCGGATGGTAATCCTGTCAACAATATGTTTATCTCGGAAGGAAGCCAGAACCTACCGTAAAGATCCGATCTGAAGAATGAAAATAAAAGATTATTCTTTAATGGCCAAACCCAAGTGAAGAAGCTATAACTTGTAATAGGTCTAATCCAGGCCACTTTACATGTTTTATGGTTAATGAGATTGTCGCTTTGATTGTTGATAAAAGCTGGGGTATATGTTTGGTTATAGGACCAATAGGTACTGAAAGTCATTTTACAAAATTTTTGTTTTTTTTTGTTCACAAACCGACCGATTTCATTAATTAGGGATTAAACCAGAGCCGGTATGAACTCCTGGTTTAACAAAAGTCTGCGAGAACTTTCTTCGCTACAGAATCCTCAAAGGCAACACATTCTCTACGACAAAATCTAAAGGAAATCGAATCAAAGCATTTAGAGAGGGTGGAGAAACTTATTCCTTCTGAAATCGCTGTTACAAGTTGTAGTGAATCGGATTCGAATAGAACACACTTCATCTGCAAGGAGAATGCATGTTCCATTGCTGTGCGTATTGCTAGTCCTTCAGCCACGAGGGACGAGATCACAAACGCTGAGGGTTGTTGGTGAGAGCTGATTCTCTCGTCCTAGTTTTGATAGAAGCTCCAAGCTAATCCCGCTGCTTGATACTCCTGTTTCCAAGCCGCATCAGACCTGCAGGTAAGAGTTAATTGACCTCTATCTGTTGTCGCTACTCTCTTTTGAGAGATCGGGATGGTTAACTGGGCCTCCTGCCATTCTTTAGCGCTCATAATTGCTTTTAATATTGTCTCTTGAGCAGAAAAGGTTTTCTTTTGAAATATTTTTTTGGTTTCGTGCAGACCAAAGAGACCAGAGGACCCATGGCGCAAGTGGGTTGTTTACCAGTCCTGTGGGAGAGAGGACCTTTGCAAGGAGTAATCTTCTTCATTCAACATCAAAATTGTTCAGAGGCATTGGGATAACCCGCCGGAGAAAGGTACAAGTTCCCAAACCTTTTCAGCATAGGGACAATGAAAGAATATGTGCTCTATAGTTTCTTTTCCACCACAATGAACACATTTAGCATCTGTTGTGATTTGTCTTGCCGCTAATATCTCGCCTACTGGTATTGCTCTGTGTTTGATCTTCCAAATAAAAAGCTTGAGCTTAGGGGAAATTTTGATTGTCCATACCTCTTTCATCCAATCTTGTGGGTTCTGTGGTATCACATCTTCTGGTTGTCCTTGCTTCTCTAAAGCAGAGTGATATCACGTCTTTGTAGAATAGAAGCCTGAGTTATGTCTTTGCCACACTCTCTTGTCTGCACCCCCAAATTTTCTTGGTTTGATACTTAGTATAT